ACAATGAGAATTTATTCTATGGTAAAAGCCATTTCAGATGAGTTTGAAAAAGTTGGATTATTCAATACGTTCTGCTAAGATAACTAGCTAGCTATTTGGAATTGGTGTACAGATTCAAGTTGTACCCCTATCTTACTCCTGTTACCATATTTTGTATCGTCAAGATCTAACTAAAAAAGAGATCATAAAAGTTCTAGATGAAGGCAGGGTTGTTATTACTTTGTTTATAAAATGAGGTGACAAAATCTAGAAGACATAAAGGCAAAGATTTGATAAATTTGACTACATACTAAAATTTGAGTTTCTGCCTAATGGAAAATAACCAAATGCAAAGTCAACTTAAAATAGAAAATGGCAAGACAATTTTTAATTTATAAACCTAAGAGGGCTAATTTTCTTAGTATGCAAAGAGCTTTTTATAAACCAAAGACAATCTAGTAGAAAAACGTAGAATGCGAACAGGAATTTTATTATAAAAGAAATACAAATAGCAAAGATATGAAACAGTACTTAACCTTTTTGATAATCAAAGGGATATACTAAAACTATAGATTTCTTTAAAAGCCTATTAGAATAACACAGATGAAAAGATTTGATTATCCTCAGTATTGAGTATATGAGGAAACATCCATACACTTTGACAATACTGTTGTTACAAATGCAAATTTGCCACAACATATTTTGAAGGATAGGGCAATTTGACAATACCAAACTGTTGTGGCTTTCTTTTTAACATTTGTTGAGTACTGGAGTGTTCAGTGGTTCAACAAAAGACCAAAAGGGAAATTGAAGTTGAGAGTTTATTACTCACAGGTCTTAGAGGAGGTACACAGGAAGTCAAGACATGGTGAAGACAGAGCAGCAGGACCTGGGGCACATGCCTTCACTGGGGCCTGTGGGTACAGTATATAAATAAATATTTTGTAAGTGCAACCATGCAGTACTGGGTCTGTGACTGTTTATTTTATTTAACATAATGTTCTCAAGATTCATTCATATGTCACATATTACAGAATTTTCTTCTTTTTATGTATATGCCACATTTTCTTTATTCATTCAGCTGTCCATGGATATTTAGGTTGTTTTCACATCTTGGCTATTATGAATAATACAGCGGTGAACATAGGTGTACCAATATCTCAGAGTTCCTGATTTCAATTATTTTAGATAAATACCCATAATGGGATCACTGGATCATTTATGGTAGTTCTATTATCACTAACACTTCTTTTGCTTGGTTTTATTTTGGGTGTTTTTTTTTTAAGTATATTTTACTAATTATCCTATTACAATTTTCCCAATTTTCCCCCCATTATCCACCCTCCACCCCTGAAGTCTCCAGCTTTCTTCCCCTGCCCTTAGTTCGTGTCCATGGGTTGTACATATGAGTTCTGAGTTCTCTGTTTCCTACACCATTTTTGACCTCTCCCCGTCTATTTAATGCCTACCAATTATGCTTCTTCCCTCTACCTTTCCCCCATTCCTCCCTTCCCCCACCCCACTGAAAACCCTTCATGTGATGTCCATTTCTCTGAATCTGTTCCTGTTCTAGTTGTTTGCTTAGTTTTTGTGTTTTTTTCTTTTATATTTTTAGGTTCATTTACTGATAGTTGTGAGTTTGTTGTCATTTTGCTGTCCATTGTTTTTATCTTCCTTTTCTTAGATAAGTAAGTCCCTTTAACATTTCATATAATAAGGGCTTGGTAATGATGAACTCCTTTAACTTGACCTTATCTGAGAAGCACTTTATCTGCCCTTCCATTCTAAATGAAAGCTTTGCTGGATAGAGCAATCTTGGATGGAGGTCCTTGCCTTTCATGACTTGGAATACTTCTTTCCAGCCCCTTCTTGCCTGCAGGGTCTCTTTTGAGAAATCAGCTGACAGTCTGATGGGAACTCCTTTGTAGGTGACTGTCCCCTTATCTCTTGCTGCTTCTAGTATTCTCTCCTTCATTTTAATCTTAGGTAATGTAATTATGATGTGCCTTGGGGTGTGTGTTCTTGGGTCCAACTTCTTTGGGATTCTCTGAGCTTCCTGGAAGTCTATTTCCTTTGCCAGATTGGGGAAGTTCTTTATTATTTGTTCAGATAACCTTTCCACTTGTTGCTCTTCCTCTTCTCCTTCTGGTACCCCTGTAATTGGGATGTTGGAACGTTAAAAGATGTCCTGGAGGTTCCTATGCCTCTCCTCATTTTTTTAATTCTTTTTTCTTCATTCTTTTTTGTTTGGTTGTTTCTTTCTTCCTTCTGGTCCACTCCATCAATTTGAGTCCAAGTTTTCTTCCTATCACTATTGGTTCCCTGTGTATTCTCCTTCATTTCACTTAGAATAGTTTTCATTTTTTCATCTAATTTGTGACCAAATTCAACCAGTTCTGTGAGCATCCTGATCACCAGTGCTTTGAACTGTGCATCTGCTAGGTTGTCTATCACTTGGTCGCTTAGTTGTATTTGCTGTGGAGCTTTGATCTGTTCTTCTGTTTGGACTTTTTTTTTGTCTTGTCACACCTGTTATGTATGAGGGGAGGAACCTTATGTGTTCACCAGGGCAGGGCAACCCAGTTGCTGGATTGTGACACTGTATGTGGGGGTGGGGTCTGAGAGGGAACTATGACACCCGCTTCGCTCTCTGTCAGATCCTAGTCCCCTCCACCACTTTCCCCAAGCAAACTGGGCCCTTCTGGCACTGATTGCCATGTGGGTGGGCTTGTGTACATTCTAGGACCCTGTGGGTCTCTCCAACAAACTCTCCTGTGAGGCTGGGAGTCTCTCCCTGTGCCTCAACCCCCACAGGTGTTTTCAGTCGGTGTTTCAAGGCCTTATTTCCCAGCGCTGGGACCCTGGGCTGTGAGGTCTGTCTCATTGCCCAATTTCGCCTGGTTTATCTGCACGTGTATGTGGCCTGGACAGCCAGGTGCCTTGCTCACAGTGCCTCGCTTCACAGTCACCACCTCGCTGGGTCTGCCAGCTGCCTGTGCGTTCAGGGTCCACCTGCTGCAGTCTTGCACTCAGGATGCCTTATGCACTCAGGATGCCTTACGCGTCTGGTACCACCGATTTTTGTGCTGAGACCCGTCTCCGCCCGGCTGCCAGACTCCATCCCTCCTACCGGTCTGGATGAATGTGTATATTTTAACTCCTTGGTTGTCTGACTTCCATACAGTTCAATTTTCTGTCATATCTGGTTGTTACCTTGTTTCTGAATTGTTGCTAACCCTATTTTGGTTGTGTGAGGAGGCACAGTGTGTCTACCTTCACCTCCATCTTGGCCAGAAGTCTCCTGTTATTTCTTTTTCTTGCCTAATTATTCTGACAAGACTTCCAGTACTGTGTTGAATAGACATGTCCTTATCTTGTTCCTGATCTTAGAAGAAAAGTTTTAATTTTCCACCATTGAGTATAATGTTAGCTGTGGTATTGTCCTATATAGCCTTTATTAAATACAGATACATTTTCTTTATACCGGCTTTGTTTAGAATTTTTATTATGAATAGATGTTGAATTTTATCAAATGCTTTTTCTGCATCTGTTGAGATGATCAAATGATTTTTATTCATTTTGTTAATGTAGTGTATCACAATAACTGATTTACAAACATCGAACCATCCTTGCATCTCTGCCTAGAATAAATTCCACCTATCGTGACCCTTTTAATATTTTATCGAAGTTGGTTTGCATCTCTGTTCATCAGGGATATTGGCTGGTAATTTTCTTGTAATGTCCTTTTCTGTGTATCTGGGTAATTCTGGCCTTGTAAAATGAGTTTGAAGTGTTCCCTCCTTTTCTGTTTTTTGGAAGAGTTTGGGAAGGTTTTATATTAATTTTTATTTAACTGTTTGGTAGAATTCACCAGTAAAGCCATCTGGTCCTGGGCTTTTGTTCATTGGGAAGTTTGATTGTATTTTTATACTTCTGACATAATAGCAGATTTCATGTGCCTTACTATATTATGGGGAAATTGCCTTAGGGATTCCCAAAGTATTTAATGAAAACTCTAGTTGCCAATAATATGTAGTTTAAGTGAAAAGAATCCCATAGTTACAAGTGTTACTTTGTTGCATGTATGTGTCTTTGTTTCTCCAAAAATATATCTATATGGATCTTACATCACTATTTACAATTAGGGTTTATTATTGTAAGATGTTATTACATCTAAAAATGCCCATTTTGACATGGAATAATAACTGTCAAAAAGTGAATTTGGAGGATGGTAAATTTTGTGTTAGGTATATTTTACCACAATAAACAAAATTGGAGGGGGAAAAAATGTAAGGATGGTTCACAGAAAGGAATATTAAGAGGCTCTAAAACATGTAGAGTTTTTCTTTTTTTATCCCACACATTTAATTACTGATGATTAAAATGAATTCTCAGGTTTCTTCGCTGAAAGAGGTAACAATACCTATCGCTTGGTTTTATCAACACATTTGAATGAAAAGGGGAAGAAGAAGATACAGAGTACGTACATAGTGTAATACCCCGCACGTAGCAAGCAGTTAAGACAAAGCAGCTGCTGTTTAGTCCAGAGGACTAAAGTGTCTTTCTTGAGGTCATCCAGCCAGATTCCAGGTCTTCTGACTCCGAGTCTCTTAAATGCTTACCATGCCAATCTGGTCACTAGGCATAAATTCTTTTTTTTTTTTTTTTTTATAAATAACTTTTTTTTTAAAGACTTTATTTATTTATTTTTAGAGAGGGAAGGGAGGGAGATAGAGAGAGAGAGAGAAACATCAATGCGCGGTTGCTGGGGATTATGGCCTGCAACCCAGGCATGTACCCTGACTGGGAATCAAACCTGGAACACTTTGGTTCCCAGCCCGCGCTCAATCCACTGAGCTACGCCAGCCAGGGCCTAGGCATAAATTCTTTAGTGAGGCAGTGAGTTTTCTGAAACTTCATATAAACTGTTGTTTCCTTTTCTCTATAAGTGTGAATACTGTTTCTAAAGGGAATGAAAATATTTTCAAAGTCCTTTAAAATCTTTTTTTTCTCCTTTTCAGAGTCCAGATGTCATTCAGAATTTGAAAATACTACCCATTCTGTGTTCAGGTCAGCCAAGTTTTACTTTCATCATCCAGTGCACCTGCCAAGTGATCAAGACTTTTGTCATGAATCTTTAGGGAAAAGTGTTTTCATGAGGCAATCTTGGAAAGATTTCTTTCACCATCATCCAAACAAACAACATAGTTGTCTGCCTCCCCCTTCTCAAAATGAGGAAAAGACAAAGACCGATTATACCAGAATAGAGAGTGTCAGTATCGATGTAAATTTGGAAAACAAAGAAGTGATGCATCCTACTAAAAGTCAGGCTAGAGATTCTGCAAAGTGTGACAAACAAATTAATGATCAAAAAAAGGATCTTCAAGTCACCCCAGAGCCCACAGCTCAGCACATTACAAGTTTGAATGAACTCTGGAACAAGTATCAGGAGCGACAGAAGCAGCGGAAACCTCCAGGGTTCAGTGATAGGAAAGAAGTATCCTTAGTGGAGCGACTTGATCGTTTGGCTAAACTTCTTCAGCATCCCATCACGCATTCTCTTTGGCCCTTAGACAGCACACAGGATGATAGCAGAGAGCAACAAGATGCTAAAGAATGCAGGGGTAGACAGCAACAACAGAAAAACAAGCTTCAGAAAAAGAAGCGGTATAAAAGCTTGGAGAAATGCTATAAAAACATAGGAGATATTAAAAAAAGCAAGGTGCTCTCTACTCATGAATCTGGAGGTTCCAATCAGATTAAAATTGAACAGGTTAAATTTGATAAATATATTCTGAGAAAACAGCCAGATTTTCATTATATGAACAGCACTTCTTCAGATTCTAGACCGTCAGAGGACAGTGAGCTGCTCACAGATACTGCCACCAACATCCTTTCCACCACCACCTCTCCCGTGGAATCAGATATATTGACCCAAACAGATAAAGAAATGATTTTGCATGAGAGGAGCAGCTCTACTTCCACCATTGACACTGCCCGATTGATCCAGGCTTTTGGCCATGAGAGAGTTTGTTTGTCACCCAGGCGAATTAAATTATATAGCAGCATTACTGACCATCAGAGGAGATACATTGAGAAACGGAGCAAGAACAAGAAGAAAACATTGAGTACAAGTTATCCCCAAATGACTTCTGAACACACCAGAAGGAAACGCATCCAGGTACATGGCTACAAATTGCATCTGGCAGTGTGACTTCCTTTTTCATGGACTTTTTGGTTAAGCTTTGCACACAGGTGGAAAAAAAAAAGCCATTTGCCCTTTCCTCACTATATTTCTTACCAACTGGAAAAGAGTGAGAAAGTGTAGTACAGTGCTATTGTGAGTTGTCTTTCTTTTCATCAATGTTCATTTACAAATTACCCTGTGGCTGCTAACTGCTTCAGAATCCGCAAAGTACATTCCTGGCATGGGGGAGCTTCGAGTTTAGAATGACCTTTATTCTGAGCAACATTGCTGGGGTTTTTTGTTTTTGTTTTCTGTTTATTCATACTTCCCTGTCTTTAAAGAAATTTTGAGTTGCTCTTAAACACATATACACACACATAATACGATATGATTTTTTTAACATAAATGAAGAATTTGAATGAAAGAAAATTACGAAAGCCAGAGAGGAGTGAGCTATAACATGATTTTTAAAAATAAATAAAGAATTGTGAGTAATGGGAAGACAAGTTGATGCTGGAGGGGAGATAAAACCTACCTTGTAGATATGTTTGTGAGCCACTAATTTTGCTTTCTTTTCTGCTGGTTAGTGTCCCTAGAATTTTGTGATCAATCAATCACATGTATCTATAGTATGAAAACAAAATTTCAAAAGCATCACATATTTCTGGTACTGAAACCTGAGCGAAATTTACTCCTCTGTCCTCAGCTAGAAGGCACCACAGTAACAGAGTCCTCAGCAGCATCCTTACAGTAAGGTTCGGTAACAATGCCTATAAGGCTGATGTGACCTTATTAGGGAGTTCAGTAAAGACATATCTCAAGGGGTCAACAAATGCAGACAATTACTTGAACCCAAGAATGAAATTTAGGGTATCTAGAGAAGTGCTTTACAAAGAGTGATACTTGCAAAATGGTTCTTTGGAGTATAGAAAGAAAAACTTTAAATTTATATTTATTTTTCTCTAATTTAAAATTTATATTTTATATGTTTGTAATATATGAGTACAGTAGTAATATGTAATTTATAAATACAGGGTGGAGCAAAGGTAGGTTTATAGTTGTGATTAATGCAAAAACAGTTTACTCTTGTATTATTATTTACTAATTATTATATTTTTATATGAACAGTTGTAAACCTACTTTTCCCCACCCTGTAAATATCTACTTTGGTAATTGATGCTCAAAAATATTTTATCAGCCCTGACTGGATTGAGCACTGGCCTGTGAACCAAAGGGTCACCAGTTCGATTCTGAGTCAGGGCACATGCCTAGGTTGCAGGCCAGGTCCCTAGTAGGGGACGTGAGAAAGGCAACCACACTTTGATGTTTCTCTCCCTTTCTTTCCCCCTCCCTTCCTCTCTGTCTGAAGATAAATAAATAAAATCTTTAAAAAATACTTTTATCAGTAGGACCCATGATCAAATAATTTAAGAGACCACTAGTCTAGAAGAAAGAAGGCACAGAAGTTTAGACAGTTTACCATAAATACTTTTTCTCATAATTGAGATTTGATAGGTATTCAATGATAGTGATTACATATATAAATAGTACAGTATGACCTTTTTATAAATAAGAAAGAATTGGGAATAGTACTGACTAAGGCTTTTTGTTCCATAGAGGAGATAAGGGGAAAGGATCCAGGTAGAGGCATTTTTATGTATGTAGTAAAATACATACACATAACAAAGTTTATCATTTTAACCATTTTAAAGTGTACAATTTAGTGGCACTGAGTGTCTTCACAGTGTTTTACAACCATTACCACTGTCCGGTTCAACAACTTTTTCATCATCATAGTAGAAACCTCGTATCCATTAAGCAGTCTCTATTCTCTTTTCCCAGTAGCCCCTGGAAATCACTTGCCTAACTTTTCTTGTTTCTGTGAGCTTGCTTGTTCTGGTTACTTCATATAAACAGAATCATACCATATGTGGCCTCTGCATCAGCCTTCTTTTACTTTAGCTTAATGTTTTGGGGTTCATCCATGCCTTAGTATTTATCAGTACTTCATTGCATGTATTCATTATATACTATGTTTTATTTATCCATTCATCCATTCATGGACATTTGGGTTGTTTCCATCTTTTGGCTGTTGGGAATAGAGCTGACATGAAGTGTACAAATTTTCCCCTGAACACTGTAAACAGTTCTTTTGAGAATATACCAAGGAGTGGAATTACTGAGTCTTATGGTAATTATCTGTTTAGCTCATTGAGGAACTGTCAAACTTTTCCACAGTGACTATACTATTTCATATTGAATCATCAATGTCTTAGGGTTCCAGTGTCTCCACATTCACCAACCCTTTTTACTTACCTTTTGGGGGGTCATCCTAGTGTGAATGAGGTAGTATCTCATGCTCATTGCCATTTTGATTTGCCTTTCCCTTATAACTAATGACATCATCTTTTCATGTGCTTATTGGCCTTTTGTATTTCTTTGGAGAAATATCTGTTCAGGTCTTTACCTACTCTTTAATTGTTGTTTCTGAGGTGAAAGATTTCTCTATATAGTCTGGATTGTAGACGGTTATCAGATGTATAGTTTGCAAATGTTCGCTCCCACTCTCTGGGTTGTTTTTTTACTCACTGTTCCTGTCCTTTGGTGAAGAGCCCAGTGCATGTATTTTTTGTTGCTTGTGCTTTTCATGTCATCCAGGAAACCATTGCTAAATCCAAAGTCATGAAGATTTGTCCCTATATTTTATTTTAAAATTTTTATACTTTTAGCACTTTTATTTGCATCTTTGACATATGTTAATTTTTGTCTATAGTGTGAATTAAGGGTCAAAGCTTCCTTCTTTTCCACATGGATATTCAGTTGTCTCAGTACCAGATATTGTAGAGTACTTTCTCCCTGGAGTGCTCTTGGCTCCATTGTCTAAACTTAACTGGCCATAAAATTGAGAGTTTATTTATAGGCTTGCAGTTCTATTCCTTTTATCTACATTCCTATTTGCATGCCATTACTGCAATATTTTGATTACCATAGCTTTATAGTAAGTTTTAGAACTGAGAAGGTGATTCTTCTACTTTGGTTCTTTTCAACACTGTTTTGACAATTCAATCAATCCCTTGTATCACCACGTGACTATTATGATCAGCTTCTCCATTTCTGCTGTAAAGGTCATTGGAATTTTGATATTAATTGCATTAAGTCTGTATTTGCTGTGGGATTTATTGCCATCTTAATATTAGTAAGTCTTCCAATCTCTGAACACAGGATGTATTTTTCGTATACTATGTAAAGTAAGGCTTTAACTTTATTCTTTTGCATGTGGATATCTAGTTGTCCCAGCACCAGTTGTTGGAAAAAAGAAAGTCTTTTCCCTGTTAAATGGTCTGAGCATAGAAATCATTTGACTATATATGTAAGGGTTTATTTCTGGTCTCTATGTCTGTCTTTATGCCAGTACCACACTGTTTTGCATTACTTGTATTTTTTTAAATAATATTTGAAATGATGAAGTGTAATACCTCCACCCATATTCTTTTTCAAGATTGTTTTGGCTCTTTAAGGGTCCATTGGGATTCCATGATTTTTAGTATATTTTCTTTTTGATGCTATTTGAAGTATGATTGTTTTCTTCAGTTTTTTGTATTGTTCATTGTTAGTATATAGATAACACAACTGATTTTCTACAAATAAGATCATGTAATCTGTGAATAGAGATAGTCTTACTTCCTCTTTTTAAATTTGTTTGCCCTTTATTTTTCTTGCCTTATTGATCTGGCTAGAACTTTCAGTATATTGTCAAATGGAAGTGGCAAAAGCAGGCACCATTGTCTTGTTTGTGATCTTAGGAGGAGAGCATTCAATCTTTTGCCATTGAGAACAGTTTTAGCTGTGGATTTTCATATATGATCTTTATCATGCTGAGGAAGTTACCTTTTTTCCCTTGTTTTATTGAGTGTTTTTGCCATGAAAGCATTCTGGTTTTTGTCAAACACTTTAGCATCTATTGAGATGATCATATGGTTTACTATTATTATTATTATTATTATTATTATTATTATTCTAAATATTAATATGAATGTTAATAATCATGTGTTGAACCAGCCTTGCATTCCAGGGATAAATCTCACTTGGTCGTGGTACGTTATCCTTTTCATATGCTGCTGTATTTGATTTGCTAGAATTTTGAAGAGGACTTTTGAGTCTCTATTTGTAAAGGATATTGTTCTGTAGTCCCCTTGTGGTATCTTTGTCTGTCTTTGGTATCAGGGTGATACTGGCCTTTAGAATGCTTAAAATGTTTTCCCTCATCATCTGTTTTTTGGATGAGTTTGAAAACTGTGTTAATGGTTGATGTTAATTCTTTTTGCTTGGTGGAATTCATCAGCAAAGCCATCTGGTCATGGGTTTGTTTTTTTTTTTTTAGGGGAATTTTATTACTGATTCAATCTCTTTGTTATAATAAGTCTACTCAGGTTTTCTATTTCTTCTTGAGTCAGTTTTTATAGTTTGCATGTTTCTAAGAATTTATCCATCTCTGTTGTTTTTCTACTCTATATTTTATCTCTACTTTGATCTTATAATTTCTGCTTACTTTAGGGTCAGTTTGCTGTTTTCTAGTTATTTAGAGTTTCATTATATTATTGGTTTGAAATTATTATTCGTTTTTTAATATAGGTGTTTACAGCTATAAATTTTCCTTTGAGAACTGCTTTTGAAGATATAAATCTCCTTTTAAACTCTGCCTGCTGCATTCTATAAGTTTTGATGTTTTGTTTTTATTTTCATTCATTCCAAATTTTTCTTACAATTCCATCTGTGACCATTAATAGTGTAAGGCTATTTAATTATCACATATTTGTTTATTTCCCAAATTTCTCCTCTGTTATTTATTTCTAGTTTCATCATTGTGGTCAAAGAATATATATTGTGTTATTTCATTCCTTTTAAATTTTTTGTAACGGTTTTATGGCCTACCTGTCTTCTCTCCTAGAGAATTTCTGTGTATACTTGAGAAGATTGGGTATTCTGCACTTATT